TGCCCAGCTCACCTGCTGCCCTCCGGGAAGAGGGCGAACTCCAGGGCGGCGCGCTCCAACACCGTCAGCGACGTCACCGTCACCGGCCCGTTGGCCTTGTTGGGGAACATGCCCTGCACACGCACCTCGTGCCAGTCCGAATGGAGCTTGCAGATATCCACGGAGTCAAAATACCTGTGGGGAAGCTGGGCTCAGCCCTGGCGGGGTGCTCTGCGGGTGCACCGCTCTGCCCCCACACCCCAGCTCCCGCATCTGGGAGCAGCAGGTCACCCACACCCCCCTGGGGACACCCAGCCCTGCCTGCCCCATCTTTACCCCCATGTCCCATTTTCTGGCCCCTGCCTGGCTGCCCGCCCCCCTGCCCCTGCTCCTGGGCACCGCCGTACTTGATGAAGTCGCTGTACTCCATCCAGAAGACGCCTTCGCTGCTGCCGTGAGGCATCAGGTCGTGACGCAGGGGAGCCGGCCAGTGTGGCCACTCGGCCGACCAGCTGCCGTTCCAGGAGAAGCGGCCCCAGGGGTTTCGGAGCCGCAGTAACCTGGGGGAAGGGGAAAACATGTCTGAAGCCAAGGAAGAAGGAGAGCACAAAGAAAATCACCTCTGAGACGCGTTTCCAGCTCTTCAGTCCCAGCCAGCCCCCTGCAGAAGGCACCACGCCACTTCTGCCCCTGCCTCTCAAAGCCCTCACAGCATCCCAGGCCCAATTTGCCACCTCCACTGGGGCTCCAGCTGTTGCAGCCCTTCCCTGTCCATTCTGCACCACAGGGTGTCCTGGAGCAGAGCAGCCCTGGACGTGGAGCTGGTGCCAGGCAAGGACAGCTTAGAACCACTGAATGGTTTGGGCTGGAAGGGACCTCAAAGCCCATCCAGTGCCACCCCCTGCCATGGGCAGGGACACCTCCCACCAGCCCAGGTTGCCCAAAGCCTCATCCAGCCTGGCCTTGAACCCCTCCAGGGATGGGGCATCCACAGCTTCTCTGGGCAACCTGGGCCACTGCCTCACCCCCCGCACAGGAAAACATTTCTTCCTCACATCTCATCTCAGTCTCCTCTCTTTCAGCTTGTTATATGACAACAGCATTTATGTGACACCCTGGGATGGAGAAACAGCTCTTGCTGGCCATGGGGATGAGATGCCAGAGTCCCCGAGGTCTGGTCCAGCAGGCACTCCATTATCTGTCCCCAGGGTTTCTGCTCGGGCTGTCGGCAGGAACGCCTGCTGTCCCCGCCAGCCTCCACCCCGCGCTCACCTGAAGCCCTGGACGTCCCGCACGTCCAGGATGGAGTAGGCGTGCCGCGGTCGCAGACCCATGCTCTCGTAGGCCACATCGTCCACCTTCATGTTCCCTCCACCGCAGGACGCGCCCATGAGGAACCT